ATATATATATATATATATATATATATATATATATATATATATATATATATATATATATATATATTTCAGTCTTATTTTACTATTTGTATATACTACTGTAACTGTAGTATTTATTAATATTTTGAATGGTCTTTTTTGTATTTATATATTTTATAGGCTATTTATACTTTTTTATATTTTCAGTTTTCATTAGAAATTTTTGTAATTTTGTTTTTTATTTTATTTGTTTTAAAAATTGTTTTTTTTATATATATATAGCTTATATATATTTGATTTAGTTTTCTGTTTTCATTTTAATTTAAGTTTTAGTAATTTTGTTGGGCATTTTTGTCATTAGTCATTATTAGTTTTTTATATCTAAATATGTGTTTCAGTTACAGTTATTTGTTGTTTTTTCTACCTAATATGTTTTTATTTTGTTTTATTTGATTATTTCAGTGAACAAATCCATTTGTAATATTTTTTGTTTTAGTTTATAATATATGTTTATATTTTGTTAGTTTATGTAGCGGAAATATCATCAGCAGTCATTGAGCTTGATTTTTGTAGCTGATCTGTTGATTTTTCTCACATTGCTGAAGTTGGAGGAAGAAAATAAAAACAGCCAGGGTCAGATTGTTGTTCTTATATTTTGATTTAAAGCATGTGTTATTTTCTAATCGTAAAAAGGTTCAGGCCAGCTGCTGTCGTTTACTCACCAAAGCCAATTTTTATTTACATTTGCTGTTTGGCGAAGGTCCATTTCAGCCTTGTATGTTTGTGAGAAGGTGTTGTGTTGTTTGTGTTCATGCCATCGTAAATGAATCACAGGTGACAGGTGTGTGTGTGTTAAGGATATCTATTTTTAGCTTCACCTAAAATACAAAACTGTGCTCAGCAGAAGGCAGGCAGCAGAGCGCAGGTGATTAATGAGAGCCTGCGGTTTTACCTCGCTCACCTCGGTTACACTCTCACACTGCAGCACAGCCTACAAGAAATCTTACACACACTTCTCCCCGTTAAAGGGACGGTTCACTCTAAAATGAGAATTGTCATCATTTATTCACCCTCATGTTGTTCCAAACCTGTATGACTTTCTTTAAGCCTGATTTGATTTGAGTGAAAGGCAGACCAAGAAATGGTCAGACTAATGTCAATATCTTATGCCTGAGTTGGTTTACTATCTCGTATTTTATTTTATTTTATTTAAAATTTTACTTGAGTGGAATGCAGACCTAGAAATGCTCATGACTGATGTTATTAATTATTATATATTAATTTTGCCTAAAGGTTTTTTACTATCTCATAGTGTCTCACTGTTTATTTTTTATTTTATTTTATTTATTTTATTTTTTTTACTTGAGTGGAATGCAGACCAAGAAATGCTCATGACTGATGTTATTAATTATTATATATTAATTTTGCCTAAAGGTTTTTTACTATCTCATAGTGTCTCACTGTTTATTTTTTATTTTATTTTTATTTTTTTATTTTTTTTACTTGAGGGGAATGCAGACCAAGAAATGCTCATGACTGACGTTATTAATTATTATATATTAATTTTGCCTAAAGGTTTTTTACTATCTCATAGTGTCTCACTGTTTATTTTTTATTTTATTTTTATTTTTTTATTTTTTTTACTTGAGGGGAATGCAGACCAAGAAATGCTCATGACTGACGTTATTAATTATTATATATTAATTTTGCCTAAAGGTTTTTTACTATCTCATAGTGTCTCACTGTTTATTTTTTATTTTATTTTTATTTTTTTATTTTTTTTACTTGAGGGGAATGCAGACCAAGAAATGCTCATGACTGACGTTATTAATTATTATATATTAATTTTGCCTAAAGGTTTTTTACTATCTCATAATGTCTCACTGTTTATTTTTTATTTTATTTTTATTTATTTTATTTTATTTAATTTTTATTTATTTTATTTATTTTACTTGAGGGGAATGCAGACCAAGAAATGCTCATGACTGATGTTATTAATTATTATATATTAATTTTGCCTAAAGTTTTTTTTACTATCTCATAGTGTCATAATGTTAATTTTGTTTTATTTTAATTTTGTTTTATTTTTTTTATTAGATTTTATTTTATTTGAGTGGAATGCAGACCAAGAAATGTTTAAACTAATATTATTATATTTTCACTTTGCCTAAAGGTTGTTTACTATCTCATAGTGTCTCACTTTATTTTATTTTATTTGATAAAATACAATACAATAAAATATACATATTAGATGAAACTAAATAAAATAAAATAAGTGTAAATGAATGTACTAGAATGACCAAAACTGAAATAAAAATAAAGCTAAATAGATTTTTAAAAACAAACTAATAAACATGACAAAAGCACATAACACAATTAATAAAACTTAAACTAAAATGAAAAAGTAAAAAATATTAAAATAAAAACTCATTCTAAATATTAATAAATATAGATGTTAAATAAATACCTGTATAATATGAAATAATATAAAATAGATATTAGATTAATATAATAGTCAAATAAGAGCATCTCATTTGGTAAAGGAACATCTTGTGTTTTCTACAGAGGGAATAAAGTCATACAGGTTTGGAATGACATGACACTGAGTAAATGATAACCGAATATTCATATTTTTTGGCTGAGCCATTCCTTTAATCAGAAAACATCACAGATCTTTCAGCACAGATGTGGGCTGCTCTCTCAAAGAGAATCGGCTTTCAGCTCGGCGCCACTCTGACTCAGAGATTGGACCGGACCCAGAGTCCAGAACCCCCACGCGGGCCACGCTAGTCCAGGTGCAGTGGACACAATGCAGGCCTTTCTTCCTCTGGGGCTGTTTATGTGCAGCACGAGCAGCCAGCATCTGAGAGGAAGAGACGGATCGCTGCTAAATGAGGGACAGGAAGTGTTCAGGGACTCTGGAGTCCACTGCAGTATTGACCAGCTATAGATGGATGTCTGAAGAGTTTTTTTAATCAGTGCTTTACTAACACAGAGACTTGTCTTTGACTGCAGCGGTGTAGGGCCACAGCTGCCCATGCCAGATGAAGTGAGAACATTTACCAGATATTGTAATGTATTTTGCTTTATTTAAAAATCAAAACAAATAAAATGTCTAAAATTATAAATATATTAAGAAATATTTAAAAGTAAAATAATTGTATAAAAAATATATTAAGATATTTATTAAAATGGTATACATATTTTATTTTTCATAATATTATTTAATTAATTAAATATGCAAATATAATACTTTATATGTTCCAATTGGACTTTCATTGTATGACAAGTAATTCATAAATAGTATTGATTAAAATTATTTAGATATTACTATATTATAGATTATCATAGATATAATTGCATCAATATTTATTTTTTTCTTTAACATTTTTATGAATGGTTGATACTGATAAACAAGTACTATTAAAATATTATTTATATTAATTATAATATAATGTTTAGATTTTATGTACTTAAATATGTAATATATATCATATTTTCGAAGTTCAAGTTTTAAGAAGATATTCTACTGTATTTTGCATTATTTTAATATTTATTAATATGAATATCTATATAACAAATAATACATCTCTAAAAAGATTTTATGTATATTTTTCAGTCGTACTTTCATTAAGATATTGTACTGTATTTTGTACAGCATTATATTAATACACACACATACAACAATTAATATATATATTACAGTATTACAGATTTTATGTATATTTATGTGCTATTATATTTATTTAATATATAATTTAATATATATGTATCACATAAATAACACGCATTTAAACATGTTTCATATACATTTCTTCAGTCTTTATTAATGAAGTTGCAGTTGGACTTTGGATGATTTCTTGATTGCTTTGTTTAGGTTTAAAGGCTCATCTCGCATCAGATTCCTGTCTCTTTCCCAGCCGTCCTGATTCTGTGTTGCCAAATATCATTTCGCTGTCACATAATATTCACTAATACCCGTATCTGCCTCCCGACGGCGGACGCTGAATCCTGGCTTTGTGTGTCCTGCTGTCGTCCATCTATGATACATGATCAGAACACAGGCGTATCATCAACACACGCTGCCGTCCAGCGATATGCTTTCATAACCTGATATTCACTGACAGGAAACAGATGCCCACTCAGGGAGGGAGAAAACAATGAACGGTGCTGCACAGAGATAGAGAGAGGGAAGATGACTCTATGATTTGTGTGTGTGTGCGAGCTTGTTCATTCTGCTTGCTTTGTGTTGATTTGGTAAGCATGTTATTCAAAGTGGGAAATCAGGCTATTAGTATGAATGATTCAAGTTTTGTCCTGGTTTATGACGGCTGAAATCAGGGCGCTGAATCCAGGCCGTCATTAGTTTCTTTGGGCCTGGAAATGACACACGATTAGAAGCGATATTTCGAGCCTCCCAACAGGGATCTGATCCGCCTCGTGTTGGCAGCTTCCTGTCTGCGGCTTTGAATCACCACATTTCCCTTCAGTGAAGCTGTTTGATGTGCTGTCCACTACTACAGACAATCATTCTGACTCGCCGCTCAGTTTATACAGGTTTTACAGTAATGCACTGACTAAAGTCTATGGAGGCAAGTGTTCTGGAGGTGGTAGAAGCAGAAACGCACTTCAGACCTGTGTGAGTTTACTTCTTTGGAACAATTTAATTTAATTTAATTTGTAATTTATTGTAAATTTGATTTTTATTTTAAATATTCTTTCATATTAATGATTAATTAAATAATTTAATTAATTTTAAATATTTTAATTATTATTTTAGATCAAATTTAATATAATTTGTATTTTATTAAATATAACTTGATTATATTTAATACATTTTATCTTATTTTGTCTTTTAGTTATTGTATTTAGTTATTTAAAAAAATATATTTTTAGTTTTTTATTTGATTTCATTGTTTTTTTATTTTATATTATTTCTTTTCTTTTTCTTTTCTTTTATATTGCTTATTTTATTGTTTATTTGCTTTTTTATTTGATTTGATTTCATTGTATTTTATTTTGTATTTGTTTCTTCTGTTATTGTATTGTTTTTTGTTGTCTTTTTTAATAGTGTAATATTTTGTTTAATATTTGCAATAAAATGTTATTGTTTATATTTGCTTTTTAGTTTATTTTTATTTGATTATTGTTCATAAACAATTATTGCCTTTTTGTCCTTTTTAAAGCTTGTCAGCCACTATTCGCTGTATGCCTTCGTTTTACAGAAAACAGCATCTGATTTTGTAAAAGAATTTCTCTTTGAAATTGAAAGCAGAAATGCAGCACACTTACATATAATTCAACAAAAATGTGCAATTTGAGCTGTAAAAATCATCCTTTTGATGAGGGACAGTGTTTCTAGGCCTTCATGTGTTTTAACAACGTAATTGCTGTAGGAAATGCATGGATTTTTTTGCTTTTATCTGTAATGCAACGTGCAAGTTCAATTAACTGCATCTGAATATGATATTGTCATGCATTATATTATACATATATGTTGTGAAATACTTATTAGCATGAGGTAATTGGCTATACTTAGGCCTTTGTTGTTTATGTTAGTTTGTGAGTGAAAACAAGTGAACTTTGTTAGTTGGCATAGAGCAAAAGCTAAATTATCTGGTAAATACTTGTTGCATTTATCATCCAATTAGTTGATTTAATAGTTCTTATAATCAAGTCAATTAAAGGAACAGTTTGAATGGGAATAATCAACCAGTAGATCCTCTGCAGTGAATGGGTGCCGTCAGAAAGTGAGTCCGAACAGCTGATAAACCATATCACAATCCACAAGAAATCCACACTACTCTATTCCATCAATTATAAAACATCTTGTGAAGTGAAAAGCTGCATCATTAAGAAATGTTATACTTCGAACCTTTGCTTCTGGCCAGAATATGAGTCCATAATCCATAATAGCGCTTTCTCCAGTGAAGAAGTTGTCTCGTCTGAATCAGGAGAGAAATATGCACAGATCAAGCACCGTTTACAAGCCAAAACAGTTCAATGATAGATTATTGTGATGTTTTTATCAGCTGTTTAGACTCTCATTCTGACGGCACCCATTCACTCCAGAGGATCCATTTTGTGAGCAAGTGATGGAATACATTTCTCCAAATCTGAAGAAGAAACAAAAACTAATTTACTGTACATCTTGGGTGTCCCGAGAGTGAGTAAATTGTCAGCTCATTTTCATTTTTGGGTGAACTATTCCTTTAAGAAAAAAATAGTTGCATCTCTGCAATACTTGAGTGGATATTGGATATAGTTTTTGATTGGATATAGTTTTGCACAGGCAGGTTTAGAGTGGTTTTATCATAGTCTCAACATGCAAGGCCTATTTCAAGGGAGAAGAACCTTGAATAGTTGAATTAAAAACCATTATAAAGCGTTTTTAGCTCGTGTGAATGTGGGTGAGTCTCATAAGGAGCGGCTATTGATAAATCCGTCCTGAATCACCGGGTCAAACGCATATGTGCGCATTACACAACTCTACTTTCACTCAAAGAGGCTTTGTAGAGTATTTACAGGACCGTTGCTGTAATCCTGGTAAATTCTAGCTGTGTTTCGCTCAGATATATCACGTGCCAATGAAGGTTTTATATATAAACCCTGATGTCCATTGTTAGAAGACTGTCTGCTGGCAGAACAAACGCTGCTAATCAGTGAGATCTGCCCAAGGACGCGCACACATCCAGATACTGCGCAGGTTCGTGTAATTCTCTTTCTGAAAAACAGCAGTTGCTGGTGTTTGATTCAGGGATGTTTAGTGTCTCAGGAGAGGTTGAAGGTGATTGGATGAGATAGGACACGTAGAGCACTGTGGGTCTCAGCAGTATTATGCATTCATGAAGTAGCAATGGAAATGGCCTTTGCACATTTAATAGCACTGTTCAAACCTTTCTGACTGTATAATTTATTAGTAGTGCTCGCTAAGGTAAGAATCACTAGTATTATTGCTCGTACTTTGCATTGTGACCCATCAACTCGTTGGTGCTGCGCGCATGAACGATTCCTTATATCATGTGTTTTGTAAAGTGCATGCTATTACTGTTCAAAGCTGCCAGATTTTCTTTTCTGGAAAAAAAAATGCATAGACTTAAAGGTGGGCTCTTTTCACTTTTTATTATTCTTATTATTTTCTTATTTCACTTTTTTATTTTATTGTTTTTTTTTATTTTAGATCATTTTTATTTTGTTGTTTTTATTTATTATTTGTTTTTTATATTACATTTAATTTAAACGTTTTAATTTGTTTAAATAAAAGTTTTTTAGTTTATATAAATTTCTTTCTGAGGAATATAACATTTTTATTTAAACAAATACTTTTTCCTATTTGTTAAAAAAAAAAAAAAGTCACTTATTTTGTCACTTGGTATTTCTTTGTAATTAATTGTAAAAATTTACTAGCAATTTCTGAAAATAGTGAAAATAGTTTTTCCCCAGTTTTCTCTATGTATTTACTGTATTTGTAGATCTAATGCATTATTATGAACGCCGGCTTTATTCCAATTTCCAATAAATGGACTTTGGGAATGGGAAGTTGCCAACTTACATCTGCTTCTATACAAAAAAAAATAAAAATTGGCATAGAAAAAATGTTCACTGAGAAATTGTTAGTAAATTTCACAAATAATTATAAAGAATAGACACGTCACACATTGAATGTTAAATTAAGTACAAAAACAGAAATTGTATTTTCTTGTACTCCAATAATCTTCAGTTTTATTTACAACTTGGAAAAATAATAATATTTTTTATTTTAATAAATTTTTATAATTAAAAAAATATATATATTTTTTAATAATTTATTTAAAGACGATCAGCTCCGTTCATTCAGGATGCTTCTGTGCTGCGCTCAGCGCTCCGTTCATTAGACCTATTTTGCTGTCATATCCAGAGAACAAAAGCCCGTCATCATGCGACTGAAGCTGAAATCAGTCGCGCAGAAGCTCAGCTCAGACTGTGGAGCATGAGAGGAGACCCGCAGGAGGAGATCAGGGATTATTCGCTCCTCATCAAGAGCCACATCCACAGTTCACGGGCAGGCCATCACCCGTCTGATATCTGCTGCTTTCATCTGCTCTCTAAAGGTTACACAGAAATCTTCCTGCTCACCCGGGATGACACAAACACACAGAGAGGCTCAGAGACCAGCGTTTATTGATGTTACGCCTCATACATTTCCATGAAGAATTTTTGTTAGCATTATATTAGCATTGCCCTCGTTCAGTCATATGAAAAATTTATTTCTTTTTTCTTGGTGGAAGGATAAACTTGCATGTCAGCAAAGCCGGTCATTGTGAGAGCTGCTTTGAATTAATTTAATAATATTTTTATTTTATTTTGTAAAGGTCTGATAACATTTGCTCTTGTAATTTTTTTTATTTTTTTTTAGAAAATGACTATGAAATGTTAGTCAAAAAGCTAATGTTTTCATTTGTTGCGATTAGAAAATCAGGATTATTCCACCAAATATTGATTTCTTAAATTACGTCTGAAGTTAAAACATTGACTTTTGTGTTGAAAATGGCATATTTTTTTGTTATTTTGACCAGCTGTCATTTTATCCAAAAAACGCTTTAAATGGCAACATTTTAATTTAAAATTTGGAAAATGTGGTCGTCAGTAGTTTACAGAATAAAACATGTTAAAGTTGGACAATCATTTGTAATATACAAAATATTCCCAAAAAATTAAGAAATGGGCAATTTTACAGACGTTCTAATGAGATGCGGCCACTTAACCCACAATTCCATGCATGTGTGAACAAAAAACTTGGTAACCACTCAGTCTGGTTGCTAGACTATAGATGCTCACCATAGCAACAGCTTGAAATGCACAAGCGTGTGGATTCAGTACCCTTACAGCTTTTCCCAGGTAGATAAATTGTACTTTGTCACCCTGTCTGTCGTCCTCCTCCTCCTCCTCCTCCTCCTCCTCCTCGTGTCTATCAAGTGAGTTTCCTTTTCTCAGTCTTTATCCAAAGCCTCCTCCCACACCATTGCATCTCTGGTGCTCATCTAAATTCATGTACGGCGTCCCCTGGAGGGGCTGCTGGGATTATATCACACACAGAAGTCATCACTGCCATGTGTGGCCATGCCGAGAGCTCTATAAATTTTAAAACGGCCTCTGAATCTGATGGAAGGACGGCTGGGGAATGTGAAGCGAATGCTGGATGGTGGCTGTTAAATATATTCAGTCTCATTACAAACGGCTACAGTGAGCTCAATAGAAATGAGGCGTGAAGTCGATTCCCTGTGTAATTTGTGTGTTCAAGCGGTTGTGTTTAACAGGACTCGTTCTGAGAGAGCCATTAAGATGGAATGTCATTAGTGGCACTTGCTATTAGTGATGCTGTTACTTGAACAAACATGTAACCCTGTGTACTTCAGCGCATGACTGTCCTGCATCGTTTGTGTTACGGACATGAATCATACCTCAAATCCTGCTTGATTTTGGCCTGGCAGACAATAAAATGGACGAAATGTAGACTGATATTGACACTAGAATGTCATAGAAACTTGCTGTTGGATTTTTGTAAATTAGTTTGAACTTTGAAGTTAATGGGATATAATAACAAAATCTGACGTCTTGGGCAAATACAGAGCATGACTGGAATCAGATTAGTAAATGGGTTGAAATTATGTAGATTTAATTAAATGCACAAATAAATAAAAGCATAAACAAATGAATGCATAAATATTAAATGCATAAATAAATAAATGCATAGATGCTTAAGTGCATAAATTAATACATGTGTAATTAAATGCACAAATAAATAAATGCATAAATACATAAGTGAATAAATACATACATACATGCATACATAATGGTTACTCATGAACTAAATCACATTTTATTCATTCATTTCTTTGTGAATAAATCCTTCATATTAATGTCATAGCTTGTTCAGTAAACTGATACATTAATATGAAGCATTTATTCACAGAGGAATGAATGAATGAGTGAAATGTGATTTAGTTCATGATTGAACACGATTTATTACCATGTGCAGTTCTGTGTTTTTTCCCTCTTGCGTGTGAGTGGAAATCTGTAAAATTGGATCTTAAGACTGTTCATTGTCCTCATTCTCATTGTTTGAAGATCATTATTGTATGGCTCTCTGGAATGCTTGATTCTGATTGGTCAGTTGTGTCATTCTGCAGTCAAATATTTGTATATAATAATGCTAAACTATATAATTAACCATTGTCCCTAGCAACCAATTTCCTATATAGCTGGACTAGTTTAATGCTTGTTCTTAACTCACTTTGTGGTCTCTTTCTTCAAACATCATACACTTTTTTTTAACGCAAATGTATTTGTTTATTGATTGATTGATTGATTGGTTGATTGATTGATAGTGCATTTATTTATTTATGCATTTATGCATTTACTTGTGCATTTAATTATGCATTTATTTATTTAGGCATTTAATTTTATATTTATGCATTTATTTGTTTGTGCATGCAATTATGCATTTATTTATGAATTTAATTATGCATTTAATTGTGCATTTATTTACTGATGTATTTTAATATGTAGCCATTTAATTAAAGCTTCATATCGGGGCCTGATCACCCTGTCATGGTTTGTTTTGCGATAATGACTGGCTTACATAATTACCTGAATAAACATCTAACCTGACTCTCTGTCTGTCTTGTTCCTCTCCAGATCTCATTGTGCTGCTGCATTGAGCTCCTGGATTTCTGCTGCACCTCTTCATTCTGTGGATCTGTTAGATAGATAGATAGATAGATAGATAGATAGATAGATAGATAGATAGATAGATAGATAGATAGATAGATAGATAGAGTCACACAGAGAAGGAGAGTGTGAGACAGAAGGTTTTAAGGCTGAAGGAGCGGTGTGATGGTTGGATTCCTCCTACAGCTCACTGGCTACAATGGACCAAATCATACACTGAAACATCACTGCTCAAGGTAAGGTCAACATTTCCTCAGTCAATGTAGCTGAAATAGTCAGAAAGGTTTTTTGTTGTTATTGCATGCTATTTTTTCCTTGAAGGTTAGTCAAGGTTTTTTTCACTAGGCGTAATATAGTTTAAATTACAATTTTCCGACTTCTCCCTCACAGTTGACAACCAGCATTTTTTGCTACTGTACCTTTAAGACTTCATCTGTAAATGAGCTCTGTTATGATTGCCTACAGTTTGTGTAGTTGCTGAATACAGAGTAGATGTTGAT